AAATAGGAAACATCCTAATATACAAAAATTTTTGTTGTCAACAATTTTGACTCCATATAACTTTTTATAATATAATAAAATTAAACTATAAGCTACATTAAAAACTAGTTAAAAATTATACCGGAGAAAACACTTACATTACTAATAAATCGACTTAACATACTCTAACATTTTCTTTTTAAATTCCCTCAATGACACAACATTCCTGATATCATTTGGCAATCTGTTGTACTGATTGTACCTTTATATAACAACATATTTCTGGTCTGACTTAAGGCATGTCTTGGTATATACAAATTATTATTAAATCTCACATTTTTCTCCTTATATTTAAAGAGACGTCATCCAGAAGAACCCAAACCAATTCAATAAAGACCTCGATAAACACACGTAGATACATCTTACAAAAAAAATCGATAAAAAACGAAACAGCACAAATATCTCCAATACCGTTAGAGATAGGTATAGGGAACCTATACACAGTTTGAGAGTTTTAAATTTCCTAACTCCCAAAGTAAAAATATACTGGGTGTCCCATTTAAAATAACCAAGTTATTACTGTTTAAAGTTGAGAAAGTATTCAGCAGTTTTTTGAACACCCTTTATAATACTGACAAATATAACAATTTATAACTTCAAGGATCTAAAATAGACCCTCCAAAGATGCTTCCTTAAAATTATTTTTTTATTGCTAACATTAAATTTCTATGATGCTGTCTGCATTTTCACTAAAATTGAAATATCTCAGAAACTGTAAGTCCTAGGTATGCAGAACCTTTAATAAAGTTTACCTATTTTTTTACGGTGCTTTGAAAAATGCCGTAAAATACAGTGTTCCATTTAAAAATACATAACGTTGATATGGTGCGCTTTTCCTGGACACCCTGTATATTTCAAAATATTTTTAAAATGTAGCCATAATCAACCTACACATACCCACCTAAACAGATTTCTGTAACATTGCCGTTTGGTCACTAGCGACCAAGGCGTTACTGGTGGCCCACTCTGTGGTATTAAATAATAGTAAAACCCTAACTCTAAATTTTTCACTTATAATATGACTGCACTAACAATGTAGATTATATAAAATATTTAGGTCTGTATCTTGATCTTCACCTCTCATTTAAAGTACATAAAAAAAAATCAATTCCAAACTTGCAAATATAGGTCTACTTGTTGAGAAGAATATCAGAAACAACCCAAATGGCTTATATGAGTTTGTCTTGTACTGCATACTGATATGGGGAAATTGGGTAAACTGGATAAGTGTATTCAAACTACAAAAAATGGCAGTAAGAGTAATTGCTAAAATATCGACATTTATTACATCCTGCAGACAATATTTTAAAAAATTTAGAATACTAACCTTCCCTGCACTGTATATTAGGGAGTGCTTATAATATAAAGTCTAACAAGCGTAAATTTCAAACACATAACACTCGAAACAAAGAAAATCTAATTGTACCGCAACATCCTCTACAATTGACATAACTATTTATAATACAAGCGGTGAAGATGTATAATATATTACCAGAAAATCTCAAAATAACCACATAGTAAATTTAAATCAAAGATAAACAAGATTTTGATCGAGTTATGTCCATACACCTTGCAGGAATATTATGAATACATTTGGAATAGTACCTATTAGCTAGCTAAAAAATCAGATATAAATAACATATCAAATTAGTTTTAATTTGTTTGTGTTAGTTTTAGATACTAAGATTTTATAGACATAAATCTGTTAAATTATATTTTGAAAGTGATTTTAAGTAAGTCATTACTAGAAAATAACTCAAGTATACATGTCATCACTATTATTTGTATAATTTATGTACTTATGTACCTTGGTCTGTTTAACAAATAAAGCATTATATTTTTAATTTCTTAAATATTTCTTTTTTTAACGTAATCTGTGTTCATCTGTTGTAATATTTACAAGAGGTCTCTATAAAATGTTTACTGCATGCTTATGCCATAAACACAATTTTTTGAATTTTGAGTATCCTTGTGGTCTCTAACTTCTGGGATAATCCCTGCAATTAGATAAAGGGAGATATTTATTATTACATAGGTAATTATTTTTATTGCGTATTGCTTTATTTTCAGTATCATACAGCAATCAACATTTGTATATGTAAGATATTTTGGTAGACTTTTAATTTCTATATAACTCATTAAAAAATGTTTTTTTTTATTCATTTAATTTAACAATTGAAAACAAAACAAATATATTTGAAATTCCAACTTTATTTCATTTATAATATACATAAGTTTTGAAGCTTAAGTATAGTACCTAATAAAATTAATATTATGGTGAATTGGAAATATCCATGTTATCAGATTTCTCCGATGACTCTTTTTCAACCTGCATTTCACAATCCTTTTCTTTTGATTTATCTTTATCTGCATCAAATCCTCTTTCTTCCTCATCATAGTTTCTAGGTATTTTTGAATGAGACCTTGTTGAACGTGATCTTGATCTAGACTTTTTATCCTTTTCTTTCCTGTCTTTATCTTTTCTGTCATTTTTTTTATCTCTTTTTCTGTCTCTGCTTCTTGTTCTACTACGTTTTCTACTAGGACGTGGTGAAGGAGATCTTCTTCTACTGCCTCTAGAACGTGACCTTCTTTTTTCTTTAGTTTTTCGATCTTTAGACCTTGATCTGCGCCTGCTTTTACTTCTTGTACGAGAACGTTTCTTTTCAGGTACATCCACACTATTTTCTTTATCACTTCTCTTCTCTTTAGAATCACGGGTAGGTTTCTCTTTTGCTTTCTCTTTAGACTCCCTCTCTCTTGATTTTCTGTCTCTATCTCTAGAACGTTTACGGTCTCTTGACCGGTCACGTGATCGTCTATCCCTTTCCCTCGATTTTGCTCTTGAAGTATGTTCTCTTGAACGATGTCCACTCCTCCGTGAATTAGACTTTGAACGTGATCTTCTTGATTTAGAACTGCGGGATCTAGATCTTCTTGACCGTGAATGAGATCGTCTTCTTGAACGCGATTTTGATCTGCGTCTGCGATCCCGAGATTTTGATCTTCTTGTACGAGAAGAAGATCTACGTCTTCTTGACCGAGATCTCCTAGATCGTGATCTAGATCGGGAACGTCTTCTTCTACCTCTCGACCGGGATCGAGATCTGCGAGAACTTCTTTTGTCTTTTGTTAACATACCAATTACAGGTTCAATAGAAGCATTTATCATATTTTGAGCTTCTTTAAACCGAGACATAGCTTCCTCTATCTCTTTTTGAGCTGCTTCATTACTTTTCGCTTGAGGTTTAATGATGGGCTGGGTTGCATGCTGAATCTCTATAGGCTGCCCTTTAAAAGTCAGTCCATTCATTTTCAATGCATTTATTATACTTGACTGATCGGTAAACTCAATTAGTATATGGGAAGTGTTATCTGAGTCTTTAGTACATGTTCTAAGATATTTAACTTCTCCAGCTGTACTAAAGAAGTCTATAATTTCATCATTTGTAGCAGTGGAATCGAAATTCAATAACAAAATTGTCCTTCGGGTTTCTTCTATTTTTGCAGTATCATATGTGGATGGTAATGGTGGGTAAGAAGGTAAACTATTGCCATCTAAATGATGATCGGTAGTAATTATTACTTGATCTGCTCCTGATCCTTGAACAGAGTTGACAACGTGGGGTGGTAATTTTGGTTCATTTAATGTTAAACCTGGAACAATGGTACCATTTCTTGTCATTTCTAAGGCATAATATTCATCTGGAATTTCTCCACTTGACACAGGAATTACAATTAAAGCTCGATCGATGAAAACTGTGTTGGTCATATGTTGTGCTATTCCAACTGTTGCAACGTCTACAAATTTAATGTAACAAATCCTTGATTGAACTGGACAAGACACATCTCTTATTGTAGGATAAAGACGTATATCTTCTATTTTCCCTAAATAACCAAATAATATATGCATTTGATCTTTAGTAGCTTGAGGTGCTATATTCGTAACTTGTACGACTTTCGTACTCCCTACAGCCATTTTTCTAATTCGTTTTCACGTTTGTCACTTTCTCTTTTATATTGAAAATTTCATCTTTACACGACGAGTTTAATTCTGGATTATAACGGAAAAAAATTGTAGAATCCTAGAAAGTCAGTTTCACTAATCACTAATCATATAACATAAACGTAATCCATCAAAATAAGACAGAAAAAACTTGTCTGACGTCTAACTGAATCACTGACCACTGACCGATCAAATAATAGGAACAAAGTGAATACAAAGAAGCATGGAAGCAAAAATAACAAGCGCCATTATTCTATGGCTAGAAATTGACCTCAATGATTTGGGATCGAGGGGGATTATCCCTCTTTACCCTGCCTCATCTCGTGTAGGCCTGGACAGCCTTCATAGGTGGGCCCCATCCGTCGTCTACCCCGACCGCAAATGCGGCCGGTGTAGGCGTTTTGTGGGATCTCCTTTTGTCCTGGCTGGGCCCCGCCGGCTAGGGCCCTTTCTTCTGGCACTCTTCTTGCTTCGCCGGCTCGTCTGTGTAAACCCCGGGGGTGGTGTCATGTTTATGTGTGGTATGGTTGGGTAGGGTAGTGCGGCTATGCAGCCTGGGATGCGCTTTGCTAAGGTGGCCCTTAGGCTAGCGCGGGAGGGGAGGG